TTAATTCCAAAATAATGTACAATCCTGCAACATCCAATAATAATACTTATTCAATATCTCTTGTAAACTAACTTCTCGAAAATCCTCAGAAGGATTTTATTTACTAGATTACAATTCACTTGCTCCTGGCTGACACGCTTTTGTAACATTAATAATATCTGCAAGTTGACTTTATGGGAAACTGGCGTCATCATAATTCATGCAACTTTAAAATTGACGTGATTAGCTAAAGAAAAGTTGTCGCTTATATATATGAAAATTTATATATTACCTAAATTTAAATCTTACAGTTTCGGTATATATATACTACTTTACAAGAAAAATCGTTTACGTTCTTTCGTACAGACCTTCTCTTAACTACCTACGCTGGTTTACCTTACAGGAAATTCTTGAGTTCAAAGTCCAGTGAGGTTGAGTAGAAGACACACAAGTTATTAGCAGGATACTGCAAGAAGACAAGAAGTGGTCACACCAGAACATGTCCTTTATCTCGTGAGGTGTGGGAGATATGAAAACCTTCTGTCGACGGTGCTTTCCATCGAAAAGCATATTTCCGTATGAAATTATTTACTGTACAAGGTAATAGATATACCCTTAATAATAGTATTATTACTAAGTTATGTACTTTGTGTCCGAGAGACTCTGGCAGGTGTAGGCTTATCGCGATCGCTGCCGAAGCTTTTCAACGTTGAATCTTGCCTCCAATATAACCAGTTTGTTCATACATGTTTCGGAAAGTTCTTGAGTATTTTGTTAGTTGGTTTCAAAACGTTCTTTTTTTTTCCCTTTACCCCTCTCTCTTTCAATTACTACAGATGTAAAACACCAAAATCTTAAAACCAATCGCATACACTTAAACTTATCCATAATCTGAACTTTCTAAAAAACATAAAAAAATCACTAATATCACGATTAATAATTCTTTAAACAAATAAATTAAAAACAAAAGAAAAAACCTCATTTCAAAACAACCTCATTTACACAACTGCAAAATTATTAAGACACCGAATAACATGCAACAACATTTACTCGTTACATTTCATAAACTAACTTACTAAACCTCGCGACACGTTTTTATTTACTACATTACAATTCACGTGATCATTATTTACATATTCTTTTGTAACATTAAATAATATCTATAAGTCACCAATAGGGGAAACTGGTGTCAGCCTCATAATTCATACAAACTTAAAACTGATGTGATTAGCCAGAATGAGTTAGCGCTTAAATATAAACTAAAAATTCACGATTTATTTAAACTATAGAAGTAATAGTAAATGAACGGTAAACAAAATTATAACGAAATAAAAATAGAATTTGCTACTTCACAACACTGAATGGCAGTTTTTTATGTCTAGATTCGATGAATACAAACAAATGTAAAAAATACAAATTAAATTAAGTTCGAAATGAATAAAATAGGAAAAAATATATATATTTCTGGACTGAACTTAATATAAATATACAGTTTATGTTAATTTTATCACTATGATTTTTATATAAATACTAAGGGTTTACTTTTTTATTATATTTTAATACCGTATATTTAAAAATAAAATTCTAATTTTAACTTTTCGACACTGCTTGGCAGTAAACTCTATCTAGATTTCGATGAAAACAAATAAATGTAATAAATACAAACTATTTGAAGCGAGAAATGAATAATTTAGTTTGTTTTGAATTTCGCGAAAAGCTACACGAGGGCTATTTCCGTTAGACAGTAAAAGACTAGAGGGAAGGCAGCTAGTCATCACCACTCACCGCCAACTCTGGAGCTATTCTTTTACCAACGAATAGTCGGATTGACTGTCACATTATATAGGCCCACAAGAAGGGCAACAATGTTTTTAGCGACGGGGATTCGAATCACCGACGCTAACATTGCGAGTCAAGCGCCCTATCTACTTGGCCATGCCTTTACGAGAACAAACTAATTTAATAAATATGAATAGGTTAATTAAATTTGCTGCACTAAAAAAAAAGGCAGTTGGTAGAAAAGGTATTCAAAGACATTTTACAAGAAGGGAAAAAAAACACACATATGAATGACTTATAGAAATCATCAATTTCTATTCTATAGGTAGCTGCAGTTATGAGAGAAAAAACTTGGATTATTACTTTATAGATATGTTTGGATAATGACAGAATTATTTTCACAGTTATAATGAGTAAACAGTTCTTAACCTTAACTCAAGAAGCTCGTGACATTTCTTTCCCTTTTAGAAAATCTTGCAGTGTAAGAAAGAACCATGATTTTTGTGCTAAGTAGATGTTTGTCAGTGTGAACTACATAAGTGGAAGTTTGTTAATCTCAGATGTTCTGTAATGGAAAGTTTAATATCTTTATATCAATAGAATCAATATTGTAGTACAGAAATCAATATTTTGACCTACTTAGAACTTAGTACAAGGTTAATAAACAATCAGTTGTTCAGAATGTCTCAGATTAATAATATTTCATCTCTCTTACATTTTTATTGGCTATCTTACGTGTTTCATTATTTGACGGTGGAATAGCCCATCTTCGTCATCTTATTGGACTGTCTGAGGCACCTTATATCATCCATACAGGGCGACAAGTTTCGGTAAATGAAACATTCGAGATAAGACTGGCTAATCGGCTTGTTGTATGTGGCACTTGTAAGTTGAGCTGCATCGGTTTGATCTAT